TCACTCTGCGTTACAATCGTTATTCGCGTTTGATGCCCGTTACTGATCTGCTCCCTGACTCTGATTGCCCTCTCGTCTCCTGTTGTCGCTTCCTTTTGAATCCTCGTCTTGTCCTTCAATATCGCTGAGTTGCTCGATCGTATCTGGGCCGATCGCGTAACTCATTTCTTGCTGATTCGGCGTTGCGTAATTCTTTCGGGCTTTCGCGGTCGCGTTCCCTATTGTTCTTCGCGTCTTTATTCTTAATACTATTTGTTATTTTAATTGGGGCCGCAACAAAAGTAATTTTAATCTGGAGATAAGTAATCTTGAAAGTGGAGAAAAAATGTGGTATAAAAAATTTACAGTTAATTTGGGGACCAGATGTTATTACAAGATTATTTGCGAACTCATGGAAAGATTATAAATGATATTAATATTGACGGTTTGCCGCTTTTCAAAAGTTCTAAACTTAAGTTTTGGCCAATTTTAGGACATCTTGTTGGGACTTTGAATGAACCCTTTATTATTGTTGTATATTGTGGGAAAAGTGATCCTCAGAATATTGAGGAATATCTAGAAAAGTATGTTAGTGAATTAGAAGATTTATTTCATAATGGCTATGAGTATGAGGGTAACAGTTATGAAGTTGTAATTAGAAATTATGTTCTAGATGCTCCTGCAAGGGCATTTATTAAATGTTGTAAAGGACACTCAGGTTATGCAGTTTGTGAGAAATGCACTGTCATTGGAGAATACCATAATCACAGGATTACTTTCGTGGATCTTAATCAACCCCTCCGTACAGATGAGTCTTTCAGAAATCGCGAGCAACCTCAACACCATGAAGGAATCTCACCACTTGAAAGGGTGAACTGGGCTTGTGTCACAATTCCGTCTTGATGCAATGCATCTTTTATATATTGGTGTGTTCAAGAGGCTGCTTTATTTTTGGTTATTTGTTGTTGGAATATGGAAACTTCATAGAGATATCATCAATCTTATATCTGAAGTCTTTGTGTTTCTTAAGGAATTCTGTCCCCATGATTTTAATCAAAAACCAAGATCTCTAAACAATTTTAAACTGTTCAAGGCCACTGAATTTCGTCGCATACTCTTGTATGACGGTATTGTTGCTTTCAAGGATTTGATTCATGATAACATCTACAAACATTTTCTCCTTTTGCATAGTGCTGCCTATATTTTGGCTAGTTCTACTCTTGTTCATACTCATCTCCACCTTGCTGAGCAATTTATTAAAACTTTTATCTCTCATTCAGTAGTTCTTTATGGAACGAGTTTTGTAGTGTATAATGTACACTCACTCAGTCACTTACCTAAGGAATGTCAGGAGCATGGAGCTATAGATAATTTCAATGCCTTTCGCTATGAAAACCGCTCTGAAGTCTATGAAGGGTGCGATCGGGTTATAAACCGTTGGAACAGATAGCTAGACGTGATTTAGAAAAAAAGAAAAAGATTGAAATTATTCTCGATTCCAAGCCTAATCAGTTTGTGCTCTCTTTAAAACACTTCATTGCAGATGAAATTATTCGTGGCCCACAATATCGTAAGGTTACTATTGGTAATGTGGTAATTTTAAAATAGGTAAAAAGGACTCCTGTTTTAAAACTGTCAATGGTAGTGTTGTTTTGCTAAAAAATCTTGTTTACAGACACTGAACTCTATTTTTTATTGGTTGCAAGTTTAAAAAACAGGAGGACTTTTATACGTATCCACTCCCCTCATCTGAACTAGGTATTATATGTGTTTCTCAACTCGAGGAAAGAAGAGTAGCATATCCTGTCAGTGATGTTCAGTGCAAGTGCTATTTGATTCCAAATAAAGATAATTTCTTGTGTATGCCATTACTTCACACAATTCCATTGATTTAAAGAAACTCCATATAGTATTATACAAGAAAAAATATGTAGATATCACATTTATAGAATATAATATGTTATATAGTTATATAAATACAGTGTATTTTTATTTTTACATTTTACACTTTATACTTTTTATTTTCTGTTTCACAGTTTGTTGTGCTAAAATTTCTGCCCACAAATGAAGATCCAGATATATACATTGAGGTTGGTTTAAGAAAGTGGATCTGCACAGACCTTGACAATGAAATGTGTGGAGAAACATATTGGCCCCCTAATCCAAAATCTGTCACACAACTGGTGAAAACTGAACAATCTTTTAAAACTGATTGGCCAAAACACGAAGTGAAAATTAAAAGATTTGATAGTAAAATTTTATTTTATTCTCCTATAAAAATTTTTATATACAGATTGTCACACATTATTATGAAATCGGAATATGTAGATATTTTTTTAAAACTTACATTTTTCCTCTATTCAGATACTTATCCACAAGCCCGCGAAGCTGTTTCTGGATTCCTCGCTGATTCAAATTATGAAACAGAGATAGAGCAAAATATGGGCCGAGGGAGAAGAAAGAAAAAGGCTCGGCAAATTGGGTCAGACAGTGATACTGATTTTAGTGGCCTTTCAAAAATAACGACAAAAATTATTCCTGCTCCTCCTGTTGTGCCTTTCAAAAAAGTTTCTTCTGATACTCAAAATTGGGATACTGATTTGGATGCCAGCATCTCGTCAAAATTGTTAAAGAGTTCCTCTATTATTAAGTTTAATAACAAAAAGCCTAAAGGAGAATAAATGACTGTTCAAAGAAAAGAGGCATCTTCTAAGCATTCCGCGACGGAATTGAAGAAAGTAGTTCAAACAGCAAAAACAATTGCAGCCTCTAAAATGAAAAAGCCGGAATCATTGGCTTCATTCAGCAAGACAAAAAGTCCCTTAAAATCCTCAACCTCTTGCAATTCATTACTTACAAATAGCCCTGTTAACTGTGACGAAAGTGCTGTTCAGGAAGGGATGACTCATTCTTCGAACGTACAATCATTGACGCAAGTACCTGACCGTGTATTCAGTAAGGATGATTCAACTTTAACGAAGGATCTTACATCAACTGATCATCAACCAACATCAACTTTTAACACTGATTCTGTGGACACTGCGCAATGCAGCAGCAATTCTTCTAATTGTAATGATAAACCAAAATTATCTAATTCAAGCGCTTCCCATCGACGTACATTGTTTAAAGAACAGTTGCATGATAAGAATACAGGTAACATTTTGTTGCAATACTAGTGTAAAATAAATGTTTGCTTTCTGTGCCCGTATTACTATAATTTTTTTGTATTTGTTGCAGAGAAGACATTAAACACCGAAATGACAGTTAAAAGGACACTGGTTACAGTAGAAAAAATTTCTGGAAAGTTAGACATTCTCAATATGAACGTGAGCAAGCTTATGAGAGCTATAATACCCTCAGAAAAGAGAATTTCGCGTCCTGAGAGAATGCCAGCATTACCTTTGCACACAAAACAACATTTAAAAGAATTTGAGACTTTTATACAGGCGGATCATAATTTGGCTGCTGCTGTAAGCATAATTCATTTCTCTACGTACTTGAAAAAGTTTTCTTCTACGTGTTTACTAATGTTTTATTATTTGTTGTTTGCAGTGTCACTACATGTCTAATCAAGCTAAGCGCGAAGAATCCCGAAAGAAAAAGTGCAACAAACATGCTAACAAAATTACTCTCTAACACACTGGCAGGTGAAATGAATTGTGACGAAGGTAACGGGAAAATAGCTTTCAAAACTCTCATTACTCTCAAACTATACAATTTGTTTCAAGGTAATTATTTACTAATACATTAAGTTTATTATTATTATTTGTATGTAAAAAATGCAAGATGTTTTGTGTTATATGTACATGTGTCTTGTTTCAGGAGCTTTTCAAATAGCATTTCCGGATAGTGATCTCACTGAAGCAGATGCAGCCTTGACTGAGTGGTTAAAAGATGCAAAATGGCGTAAGCAGCGTGACGGCAGCTTGGGAAATAGAAATAAGGACTCGCAGAAGAACAAGTAGTTTCTTTCATGAATAATAAATTAAAAGAGCTTTAAGTTTAGTTATTATGAGTAATATAAACTCCTCTCGAGAAACTATTTTGTAGAGATTGAACAGTATGGGATTATATGTACTTAATTATTACTTACCAAATAATAGGACTTTTGATGAGAATTGACAGATAATACTTTGACAGATTATTTTGTTTTACAAATTTAAAGAAAGTCATTTATGATTATTATGTTATTTTGGTGTTTAGAAAAAATACTGCTAGCTGTATTGGGTCATATTTTTTTTTTTAATTTCACGTTTATATATAGTCTGAGTTAGGTATATACTCCATCCAGCAAGAGAACATCCACGGGTTACACATAGATGGGCAAAGTGAAAACGTAGCGCGCTATTAAGTACCACGATACGTAAGTATACGGCACGCTCGGTGTGGATCAAGGAGAGCTTTTTATGCGCGGAAATCTGTTCAAAACGGACGAGTTTTTGTCTAATCCGTGGATTTTCTCTCGATGAACGGAGTACAGGTCTGAATTCTGAGATTCTTTTATTTCCTCACAAATTAAGTAACTGCTCCGATAAAACACTTTCATAAAGAAATGTGATAAAAACGTTGTTACTCTGACTGAGTGTTGTTCTTTTAGTATATATATTTTTTAAAAGTATTTTTATAATTAAAATATATTTGTTCGGCTGTGTATGTGTAGTCTTTTAGTTTAAAAACCGTACAAAGAGCTTTGCAATAATTGTTGTATAACATGCGTATACCTAAGCAAATTTTTTAAGAGAATATTTTTTGTTATACGAAATAATGACCCTGATTTTCATCCATTTTGCGCAAATTCTTTTAGAAATTTTTTTTTACAATTTTTCTTACAAAATTTTTTCGACAAATTCTGCTCGACAGTAAATAACTTATAATTCTTGACAACGTTTACAATAAATAATGATAACAAAATGTTTGTATTGTCAACATGTATAAGTACTCACTATTTGCAAAAATTACGTTGTAAGACTTATATTTTATTTTTCCATTACTTTTATATTATGATATACGTAAATCAAGATCATTTCTTCGTGAAAATATGATATTTATTACATTATGGATAATTATATTATCAAATTACAAGTATCTGTTCTAATAAATTCAAATTTAAAAAATTAATGATAATATAATTTAATTATTTTTTACTGTCATGTCCTTGTGTATTCAAGACTTTTTGGAGTGTTATCGTCCTCAGGTAATGGATAAGTCTTATTTTGTTCGTATATTTTTTTTAAATAAGACTATACTGTCTTCATTATACCTGATGTAATATATATGTGTGTATATATATATATGTATATGTATGTATATATATATACATTATTGACATATACATATATATTACTTTACAATAATTTATTTTCAAACTTCGAGATTGTTTTGATATCGAATCGACCTCGAATTAACGTCGACGTTACTATACATTCTCTTAGTTTCAAATAAGAAGGCATAAATTCAATTAAATTACAAGTTTCCAATATCGGTTTGGAAGATCGATGTAAAATCCTATTTCGACGTCGAAAATCAATCGAAATTGGAACCAAAAATTCATCGAAATCAATAAAAATTTCGAAAATTTTCGACCTTTGTTTTCGACATCAAAACGACGTCTTTTCGAAGGATCATTTCTGACTAGGGTTGAGGCAATACTCAAGAAGCACCAGATGATGGACTGTAAAGCAATTGACACACCGTTAGAATCGGGATTACACTTTAGCGAGAGTAACAACGATGTGAATAGGGATACCCCTTATCAAGAGACCATAGGTAGCCTGTTATATCTATCGAGATAAGTAGACCAGATATTGCATATGCAATCAGCTTGTTAAGTAGATTCAATAATTGTTATACTATGGCTCATTGGAATGCAGTAAAACGCGTTTTTAGATATTTAAAGGGTACATTGAATTATAGATTAGAATTTAATAGTGAGTCGGCTTTCGATGCGTATTGCGATGCGGACTGGGGGAATAAGCTAAATGATAGATATTCTGTCACTGGTTCATGTGTTAAAATAAACGGAAAACTTATTTTATGGTACAGTAAAAGGCAAAAAACTAGCTTTATTAACCACAGAAGCCGAATATATAGCGCTTTCTTTTACGGTACAAGAGGCTCTGTGGATTAAGCAATTAATTAGTGAAGTATGTAATGAGGTTCAGAAACCTATAGTCATACATTATGATAATGTGGAGGCAATACATTTAGCTAAGAATACAATCACTAGTCAGAGGTCAAAGCATATTGACATCAGACACCACTTTGTTAGGGATCACATAAATAAGAGTGATGTAAAGGTAGATTATATATGTAGCGAGTCGATGCCAGCAGATGTGTTGACTAAACCTTTGACTAAGGTGAAACATAATTCTTGCGTTAAGTTTTTTGGTTTGCAGTAAGATCTGTTTTTTAATTATCTCTCGTGTAACAAAGATGTTTAATGGAATTATTTTTTCTAGGTCATATTCATGTGGGGGTGTTGGAGATCGTGAATATGACTACGTCATTGATTGAGTGAATCTATGTTATTTTTTGTTCTATAAGGTCTATGGCGGTTACTGACCGCGGCGCTATGTTCGTACTGGAGATATCCGCTAAGCTAAGCATACACGTGTATAATTTCTTTCCTGCGTATATTAAACAGTTTTGTCAAGTATAACGGTGTTATCCCTGCGTAAACCTAAGGTGTCAAAAACCCAAGAATCAGTTGTCTGAATGCGTTTAAGGATAAGTCAATATAACCACAAAGAGCTTCATCACGCCGGTATACAGATAGTAATGAGTAGCCTAAGAAAACAAGTGTGGATATTATCAAGTCGGCGAGCAATTCGGTCCGTCCTCTCTAAGTGTATAATATGCAAGCGATATAATGCCAAAACAATTGAGACATCACCGTCAACCCTTCCAGAGGAGCGAACAAGAGATGCTGCTGCATTCGAAGTGTCGGAAGTCGATTGTGTTGGCCTATTGTATTTAAAAGGCGGACAGAAAGCGTGGATCTATCGGTTCACGTGTGCGGTTTATCGAGCGGTCCACCTCGAGCTGATCACATCACTCTCGACGGAGGCGTTTCTGGAGGCTTTTCGACGATTTGTCGCACGGCAGAGAAAGACCTTCAATTATGTTTAGCGATAACGGCACTAACTTTACGGGGACAGGCAATCTGTTACGTGGAATTAATTGAAAGAAGATCACTGATTATAGCGCCGTGAAGAAAATGGCATTTTAATCCATCTTCCGCTGGTGGGGCCGATGGTGGGAGAGACTAGTACGCTCAGTTAAGGAGATACTGCGAAAGGTTTTGGGGCGAGCCTGCCTTACGTCAGAAGTGCTGTACACAACGCTATGTGACTGCGAAGTCTATGTAAACTCGCTCTCTATCACTTACCTGTCTAAAAATTCTGGTCAGTTAGCTCCGTTAACTCCTTCGATGTTTATTCAGGATGTACAAGAAAGTGGATTGCCGGATCTGGATCAGGTTGAAGAAAGCTACCTGAAAGCGAGACTACGCTATCGTCAGAAGCTTTGAGCTGACTTACGTTGTCGATTCCGGTCGGAGTATCTGGGGCAATTATCAAGAGCGAGCTATTCTAAAAACAATGAACTCAAGATAAAAGTAGGACATGTTCTCATAGAAAACAAAAATCAGAAGCGTCTAGATTGGCCCTTGGGACGGGTCATCAAGATTATTCCAGGTAGGGATGGCAAGGTACGAGTTAAAACTGCAAATGGAGAACTCGGTCGTCCTATTCAACGATTATATCCTTTAGAGATTTTGTCTCCAGACAAAATAGAGGCATTGAGTAAAACAACGAACAAAACTAAAAGATCGTCAGAGGAGAATTCTCTTCCTGAAGATTATCCTTCTCCTTCGAAGATTCAAGAAACCGATGAATCCGATGGGGAAGATACGTCATTAAAAAAAGGTTAAGCAAAGTTAGAAGCGCGTACCAGAAGTGGACGACGAGTAAACGCGCCAAACAGACTGGACTTATAAGAATAAGTGTAATGTTCCTTTTGTTTTACTCTGATTAATTTTATTTGTATTTTGAGTTGCTCCAAGTTGTCAACTCAAGGTGGGAGGATGTTGAGGATTTTCCTGTTCTGTATTTGACTTTTTCTTTCGATAGAGTGAGCCACATGAATCTTTTCTCTAGGGACATAGTAAACTTCTTAATTATTGCAACTCTCTAAGTTTTATATAGTTTATAAGAAGGTCGGTCGTGTGACCAGTTAAGGTCAATATGGCAAGCTGTGAATAAGTATCCGTTTTTTAGTTGTGTAACGTTCTAATAAATAGTTTAACTATATTTACGTCTACCTTTCGACATACCCACCAACACGAGTCTTTAACAATAGGTTCTTTATTATTCTGGCGTCTTTATCGTCCACCCCGACCTCACGGAGAAGCTCAATGAGCCTGGTATGCATACGATCGAATGCCTTCTCGTAGTCCACGAAGCATACATCTTGACGGTGGTCTCTACACTTTTATAAGCGGACATTAAAACCGAAGAGCGCTTTTCTTGTACCAAAGGCGCTCCTGAACCCGAATTGCGAGTCGTCTAAGTCTAGCTCACATTTAGATCTTATACGAGCATGAATGATACAGAGAAATGTCTTCAGCATATGACTTATAAAGCTTATCAACCAATAATCAGCGCATTTTTTAGGATGCTGTTTCTTCGGGATGGTTATGAACGTCGATCTCAGCCATTCCTCAGGGAACTTCCCCTGAGTTATAAATCTGGTTGAATAATTTTACAATCATATCCACATTATCCTCGTCTATGAGTTCGATTAACTTCACTGGGATTTCGTCAAGACCAGGGGCCTTCCTGTTTTTGGCTATCGAGATGGCGTGCAGTACCTCCGACTTGAAAATCTCGGGATCCTCCAAGTTGTCCTGGCTAATTTCCACGTTCGTTTTATTGTCCTCAAAGAGCTTGGTTATATATGTTTGCCACATTTTTACAATTTCTTTTTCCTCTAGCTTTTTCCTATAATCCTATTTGTCTCATCTAATATTGTCATAGGTATTTGTTTTCTATAGAGGCCGGCTACCTCTTTCACTTTGCCGTGAATGTTGAATCGTGTTTCGAGATAAGATCTTCCATCTCTTTGCATTTTTCCGTCATCCAGCGTTGTTTTGCTGCTTTGATTTCTTTCTTTATTTGCAATTTTCTGTACTCCGTCGGGTCATTTTTAAGCAACCGACGCCTTTCCATCAGGATCAGGATATCAGCCGTCATCCACGACTCCTTGTGCGCATGGGCGATCTCAAATGCTGCCCACTGGTATCGAGCACAGCCTGTTTAAACTCATTCCACTGGGAGTTTATATCAGCGGTATTGTTGTTGTTGGTTTCCCTGGATATCTGACTCAATCTGATGTTAAGACCCCTCTTAACTCTCTCCCTCACATCAGCAACGTTCAACTTAGATGTATCGGTCCTTTTGCTCCCACTCCTTTTTTTAATCCTCTTCAGCGTCAGCATCAAATCGGCCACGAGCGGATTATGGTCTGAGCCGATATCCGCTCCGGGGTAGGTTGTGATCTTTTTTATGATGTTCCTAAAACGCTTGTTTACCAAAACATAATCGATCTGGTTCCATATTGGTTCAGGACTGTCTACAGAGTCGCGAAGCAACTTCCATGTGTAAAGATGAAGGTTTTGGAAGTTTAAACCACATGTTGGTTATCATTACCTCTGCCTCTTGACAGAATTTAAAGAGTCTATCACCCCTCTTATTACACTGCTCCAATCCATATTTTCCGACCAGATTA